TATATATATATATATATATATATATATATATATAAAAGTAAAAAAAAAAAAAACTTGTAAATTGCTCTAAATATTATTTTTCTCACAAATTTAATTTGTATTTTTAAGAATTTAAGCTATCTGTGCACAGCCGTCTATAATTTTGAAATGGTAGACTAGATGGAAGGCAGAAAGTCAACTGCATTACCACAATTCCTGTCTAATGAATAGCGGGGTTTAACCATCATTCTAATAGCACACACATATACGAATCTTTATTAACAAACCAAATGTGAAAAATGTATTATAGCAGATGACCAACAAATACTTGGCAAATATGAACATGTTCTCTGAGCAAGAATAAACTAGATCAAAATTAATGCCACTAATGTTATTGACAAAAAGTGGTCACAAAGTCTATTTCTTGATTTAATATCTGGTTGTGTCCCCTTAGGCCTTGATATCTGCTTGGTATTGCTGTGGCATACAGTGCATGAGGCACTGAATGTAGGCAGGGGTGAGTTCATGATGCCACACAACAATTAGGGCTTCCTGCAATTTCAGGGGTGTTTCTCAGTTTCTTCTTTTGCACTTTGTTACCCATTACCTTCCAGCAATTTTCAATAGGGTTGAGATCTGAGCTGTCTTGATCCTTTCCCTTCGAAGACAGTCCTTCATCTGAAGCACTGAAATAAAACCTAACATGTCTTTTCAATACATAAAGAGAGAAATTTCTTCTTTACTTCATGTCTACTGCATGGCCTGTAACACGCAGCAAAGTCATCCAGGAATGTACAGTGGTCAGCTCTAAAAAAGTGATCCTAAATTTTTGGCTTTAACCAGGACTCTAGGATCTTGCCCCACACCTTGGCCAGAGATGCATCCCCATATCACCTGACCCTAGGGATACTTCACAAATGTATTCAAACACACTGGATGAAACCCTTCTCCACATCGACATCATACAAAGGGCTTCCCATCAGACCTGTGCAGGTTAAACTTTCATTTGTCTGAGAAGATTATTTTGCTCCACATTGTTTAAGTACAGCAATCATTCTCTTTGGCCCAATAGAGCCTCATCTTCCTCATCTTGTTGGCGAGGGGAGGTTTCTTTCTCAGCCATCTTACTGGGAGATAAGCTGAATACATTAAAGCCAAAAAATGCCTTATGCAATATTCAGACAGTCTATAAGACTGTCAATGTAATAATTACACAGCATTGTGTCATTCATAAAACACATTTGCACCTCCACATGTTAAAGTCTGAAAGCAGACGATGAGTCCAAAGAAAAGTGTGAAAAAATTTGGTGATGCAATAAATTTGTCTACCACTGTAATACTAACTTAGTTCTTGTAGCCTAATTCCAAAGACTGATAATATAAAAATGATAACATTATAAATTTAAACCAATGTCTGAGGCTTATTTTGCAATATATTAATCTAGGTACTTGTAGAGTTAAATGATAGCATATTTTAGAGCTAACTTGAATATATACTGATCCATTTTAATATACTGTCAGTGGTAGTGGTCCTATTGCTTGCTTCTTTCATAAAACCTGTGTACTTTTCTTGACTTTCAATTTGTCATTATGCTTGGACCAATCAAGATTTATATTATCCCTAAGAATTGAGATCATGTAGCAATCTGAGGAAGCAGAATTCTTTTGATATTGGTGGCCACATAACTAACTGAAAAGTATACTAATTTTAGAAATGTTGTGGAATAGGCCTAGCCAACACCATAACAGTGAGACAGTTGCATCATAATGAATTTAAGCTGACTTTAATTTTGCTCTGTCTTGTAAGATCTATTATTTCTACTTTATTATTAAGATAGGCATAGTAATCAATTTTTGGATTAAGCCTTATCTTAAGCTTAGAAGGTGTGACTGTGTTAAGAGATAACTAAAGGCCTATTGTTGCACATGTTTTGTGGTCTATTTTCAAGTTAAACCTGAACACTCAGTCAAGTATATTTAGACAACTGTTGAATGAACAAGTTTTGGCTTGAAGCATGTATTTTTAATAGTTTATAGGATTTTAGCTTTAGGTACATATTCTACTATAGAAAGATACAAAAAATATATCATGCTCAAAATTTTATTTACTCATATAGCATATTCACTTTTTTTTTCCAATCAAAAACTCAGAAATTCATTAGGGACATGTCCTTTCACCATTTTATACAGAGCCAACTTTTTATCTTTACATGCTTATACCAGTAATATGAGGGCACAAACTGAACATTCAAGGACAGCCGAAAAAAAGGTCTTTGTCCAATACACTTTGTCCAAATTCACTAAAAAATAGGTAGAAAATTATTCACTAGTCTGGGATCCAGTAGTACCATCTGTTACAAGATCTATAGACAAATAGAAGTACATAATTTTACTTAAGGAAATGCTCAATACCTATATTTTTAGAAGAAAATAAGTTTGCATTTTAAATATGTTTAAAAGTCTTCAACAAGTTATATTTAACTGTTTACATGTCATTCATAGTGAAAAGTTTTGGACCAATACAATTATTTTATGTGGAAAAAGGAAACATTTTATGCATTTATATACATTTTCTGATATAAGCTCTGAAATCATGATTTATTTTTAATTTTCAAAGCAAACTATGTAATACAAACTTTATTATAATTAAACGAGTTTGAATCAGTATTCTGGAAATAATTTTTATTCTTCCCATTCAGTTTATTAATACCACATATAATACAATATGGTAAAAATTAATTCTAGGACTTTTTATTACCCAACAATACAGAATGTGACAAAGCTAATAAACCTCTTTCAGTTTGTTTTATACTTATAGTAGTTTGACTCATACTGACCTCTGTCACTAGGCCTGCAGCAATTGTTGATCCCCCAGAACGCAACATGAACCGTCCAAGCTCCCTGAAGTCTTTATAAAGCTCTACACATATGGGTCGATTTACTTCAATTTCAACAACACCACTGCTATTCTGGGTCAAACATCTATAATATATATAAATATATTTAAATTTTTGGTTTTCAAAGAAATATTCATTTCTTTCAGCCAATAAAATTATTTTAATAACTTAAATACAACACTTTAAAATTCAGTGACATATCAAACCTGCAGAACAATATATTTTACTTCCATATTTTGATTTCAACATAAATCAAGAAATGATTGAAATATTACAGTCATTAATACATATGATGGAATATACTGATTCTCTCTCTTAACAGTACAAGAAAAAAAAGTTTTGAACAATATCTGTTTAAAGAACTCCTAATAGGCATATCAGCAAAACATAAACAAGAAAGTAACCAGAATACAGCACATGTAAAACAAATCCAAAGCAATATGTTGAATACAGTAGACTAAGTCAAGGACAAATCAACCAAAGAAACAAACTTCTCAGCTTCAGAAAAATTTACATACAAAAAACAATACTAATTAAAGTTCTCCAGTTAAACACATGTGCGTCACGAGACAATAGTGAAGTTTACTAATTCTGTTTCCAAACACTTAATGTACCGAATGCTTATTCTTTAATTAAAATTGACAGAAAATACAATTTAAAGTTTCCTTTCATTTTAGACAGCTAAAGTAATATAAAGTTAAGCTATTGAAATTGGCATATCTTAAGAAGCATTGTACTGCAGGCGTAATACGTTATACATTTTTTAGTTCATGATATTGTTTACACTCTAGGCAGTAGCAAAGTTATTTTTAAGGAGGTTAATTTCTTTAAGGAATACTTGAGTAAGGAAGCACATTATGCTAATATGATAACAGGTAGGTAAACAACGATTTATAAGCATAAGGAAAAGTTTTATTGATGGTGGAACATACTACATGTTTGAACAGAACATGACAGACCAATGTTCTGTTCAAACATGTAGTATGTTCCACCATCAATACAATTTTTCCTTATGCTTATAAATCGTTGTTTGCCTACCTATTGAAATATATGAAATGCATTTAAATTTTACTTAAAATAATATTATAATATCTTACATATTAACCCTTTTGCATTCGGCTCTTGCAATTTCCGGAAATCGAGTCATGAATTTTACTTGTACAACAATGAATGTGGTAACTCTGAGATTTCTTAATGTATCCTCTAAAAAACTAAGGTGATTTTCATTTTCAGTATAAAAACACTTTTCTTCATCTTATAGTTTTCATGTTTCATTTGCGTAATCTATAGAACCTCTTAAAAGGATATCAAAAGTTTTTTGAAGTAAATGTTTATATTTTTTCATTTTTATCTTCAATCAATGTACAATGCAATGAAATAATTAAAATTAGGAAATAGAAAACTAACAAACATACATTTTAATTTCTGGTAGAGTATCATTAAAGATTTTCCTTTTGTTAAATTTGTAATTTTAGGTCTTTTCTTTTTCACATATAGTTTAATTTTAAATGTTTTATTTTCCTTTCTTGTCCTTTATTACTTACTACTCGTATTAACACAAGTAAACAGTGTCCTTGAGGCATATTACAGTGTATTTTGGAGACATGCACAACCCTTTGGCAAAAATTTCATTCAGCGTGTAATATCGTAAGCCTTGTGAACAGACACAAAGTATGATGTATATCTAAAAAATGTTTGAACCTTTTAATTATGCATTTTAAAACATAACTAATACAAAAATGAACGAAAATATAACATTACGACCTAAATACAATTTAATCTCTAACTAGAACATATTTAGGAAAGAAGTAACTGCAAGTGCTATTGTTGATCAAGCAGCCAACAATACTACAATCAGTTACGTGTACTCTGTGACGACAAATGCATGCCAATTTCACAATAACTGTTGTTAGATTACAGTGTAAAATGAGCTGCATCTAATGACTATACACATGTGTATGTAACAACACCTACATGTAAACTATATAGTTCAAACAAATCTGTTGAAAGTAGGCATGGCACATGTTAGAGGTTGAAACAGTTTATTAATTGTTTCAACTTCAGAGAAGTAACTTGTCAGAGTCAAAAGGTTATGCAAGCATTTTATTGTCTAGACTATTCTCTGCTCAATTACCATTGTATTATTGAAGATATGGAGAGCCAAAGTAGATAATTTTCATTGGTCATTTTATTGGTCATTTGACAATACATCTGAAGTTTTAAGTAATTTTTTAAAGTTTTTTTTTTAATAAAGGACTTAAAACTTCAAATTATAACATACATCATTAAATTTGAATGTAAAGCAATGACTTATGCAGAAAAGCATTTAAATGGGCACTTATTGCAAAGGGATTAATACATAAAGTTCCAGTTATTCATATTGTCTTAGTTCAAAGAGTAGTTATTCTTTCTATAAGATACAGATGGTTGAGTAGACTATATTAACCTTATCGCCTCGGGTACCCTTTAGTGCACCTAACACAAGGTTTTAGAGTCTTACATTCAAAACTATATTAAACCACTTTTTATTTATGTTATACCAATAAAATCTTAGCTAATAATCCATATTTTAATAGTATATAAGTTTAAGTTCTTAATTCTACAAGGCAATATTAAAATAAATCCTGAATTTTCACTAGTGTGACCCATATGACACATTTTTTTCTCAGCATGTCATCATCCCTATTTTATCCACCACCAAAATTAAGCGTAAATTACTCTCTATAAAATTGTTATTCCTCAGACAAACCATAATTTTTATAGTCTTCAATTTTGTTTGGTTACAGAGCTATCAAATAGAAAATCAGACCCCTCCTACCACACCCACTTGTCACATCCTCTCTTCCACAATTCATTGACAGTTCTATCTTACATATTATTATATATTACTTACGACCAATAGAAAATCAAAGTTTTCATCTACCAAGTGACATATTGTATAATGTTGTATTGTGAACAGAATATCATCACTTTCACTCACACTACAAGATTCGTTCCCATGGGAAAGTTAACGATTAGCTTGGATGAGCTTGTAATGGCTCTTGTTGCATAGTTAGAAAGCCAGAAAAATTTGTCTACTTTTTGCATGTTATTAGTCTATATTTTTGGGTGCATCACTATAATTACTATAAGAAATTAGGCTTAACTGTCCTCGAACAGTTGAGCGCAAGGAAAAGAAGATTGGATAAGCACTTTATTTCTTGTTTTTCATATTTATTCTTCATTTATTATTATAAATGTAACTAAAATTAAAAGTACGAATTTTTTTAAGTTATTTAAAACTAGATTAGGTAAAATAAGTAATAATAATAATATAATTAAAATGGTTCACAAGGTACGCATGCGTGCAACTTGTGGGTAATGTAATTTGATAGAGTAATGTGAGTTGCACATTCCCCAAGTGATTAACAACTTATAATGGTGCGGATAGCAGTTAGACACGGTTCAATAAAACAATAAAATGCAATTATAAATAGAAGTATACTGTTATGAACTTAGAGCTACTTAGGATAAATTAATGTAGTTCATGTTATAATTTGAAGTCATTCTAGAAAGAAAAAAGGGTAATTTAGGTTTATTTCGTTTTTTTTTGTTTTTTTTTTGTGATTATGAGGTCAGTCGAATTGATTGACCCCATTTTGATATAGGGTAAAGAAGATAACAGGTAAACTATAAATTTTTACTGTTTGAAGTGCATTTAGGAGGTTTCAGAGATTACACAGAGGAAATTTGAGTTTTTGAAATAATGAAAAGTATTTCTACTTTTAACATGAAAATTAAATTGCACACAGACTATTCAAAACAAATACTCAATATATCAACCCTTTCGAGACGGGTCATGAGTGAAAGGCCACATCATCTTGTTTGTTGACTCGCACTCAAAATTTTATTGAATTACTATTTCATGAATTTATGTCGATAACTTTGGTTTCAAAGTGTAGATTATAATTCAAATTTTAGTACTATATATTACTCAATTTCTTAATTTAAAAGCAAATATAAAAAAACAACAGAGTAACATTGATTTTTGTGTCACGTGGTATGTTGAATGCATCACTGGTTCAAATTAGATGTTTGTGAAGTCAAAATACTAAGTCTGTAGTTTTGATCAAATTAGAAACTCAAATTACTGATACTGAAAAGCTAGAATATAAAATAAGAGCCTCTTATCTATTCAATTTACTAAGATATTGCTCATGTAATAAATCAAACACAGTGGCACCCTGTCCACCTCTTTCCATTTTTGGAAATGCTCCCTTGTATACACTTACTTCTATATATGACATGAATAATCAACCGGAAGCTCAGAATGTCCCCCTAGTGGCTTTCTCAGCCATTTTAACGGCCTTTGCGCCATTTCTTTCTTTTGAAACAATATTTCAATGAGGTAGAGTGTGTCTTTACTCTGCTCGAAATTTCATATATTTTTAGACTAAAATACATCTTAGTTACTAAGCTTTATAAATTATAGTGGAATCCTATGGTATTAATGTAGTAATTTATGATTTTTTAGTTATTCAGATGTATATATAAAACCTAAAAACATTTTGTTACATATCCTCCATGTGCAAAATTTTTAAAGGCTTAGCAACCTATGTCAAGCAGCAACCGAGTACAAAGGTCATAACTAGAAGAGATAATTGTTTGCTCTACTTCTTTATTTACTGTTCTATGTTTTAGGAAAAATATGTTTGAATACTTATTTCAAAATAGCAATAATCTATATACATATATAATGTATAACAATTGAAATGTGACTGTATTTTACAAAATACTAGTCTACTAAAACACAGCCAAGACAAGTTACTTTGCACAGACGAAAGGTCAGTTTTATGTTATTTGATATGGTAACGTGAGCGTGCATGATGCGTGTCATTGTAACTTCTGTATTGTTAGACAAGCACAGCTGAAAAGTCAATATAATAAAAACAATAAATATGTATAAATGTATAATGTTAATTACTGAAAATAAAAGATAAAATATAAAGTTTGTTCTTAAGAAATGTTTGACAGAGCCTGTATTGAGAGAATTAAAAGAATTTTGAATATGCAAATCAGCAAGTCACTTGACAACCACAGATGATATAGTCAGTAAAACAGAATATATCAGAACTACATTCTGACATTTTTTGGTGTTTCATAGGTAATGTGATAGTATCAAAAATTAATATATTTTGAGAGAGGTATGTTAACAGCTCTCTCCAATACAAAATATTGAGATATTCGGATCATGAAATCAAACAATAATTAATTTGTTAGGATTAACAACAGTAAATTAACAAAATGATATATATATATATATATATGGTTTCTTAGTCATGGATGTATGAAACCCAATTCCTAAGATCCATAACACCTTTACATGGTGATTATATGTATTTAAGTGAAATCCATTTTAATGCAAAAATTAAAACATTTTCAGTTAAATGCTTGTAAACTAGGATCTAAGTAAAAAATTAAAAGTTTTATAGTTCTGTGTAGTTGTGTATCTAGTTGAAGCTATTATAATACTTATATATGGTACAACTATACAAAATATTTGAAGAAAGATGGCATCTTGAATAAACACAAGGATATTATAAAATTCCAAAAACTGATGTAAGAGCTTGATCATTTTAAAAAGAGAATTTCTGATAAATAAAAACATGAAGATCCTAATTTTAAACAAATTTTATTTTTAAAGTTTTATAATTATGGGATACTGTTATTTGGCTAAATAATTCAATGTACTTAGGCAAAATCCAAACCTAATATTTTCTATCTCAAACACTTCAGAGGTGTTTTTAACTTTGAAAACAAATTCTAATGAGTTACCTTGGTTTATTCTTTATGACTTGTCCTGTATTCCTATGCAGTTGAGAGATGAGCTTACGTATTACAGCCTGTTCAACAAGATTCTGGTAGTGAAGGATAACAGGAAAGCCTTTGGTGACAGGAATCTTAATGTTAAAAATCACCACTCTGGCTTGAAACCTACTGGCTGCTCTGGCTGGTTGGTTAGGATCACAGAGAACACTACCAACAGTCACATTATTGATGTCAATACCTGACACTGTTACCACCACATGGTCTCCTGCAAAACCCTGAGTCACTGGGAAGTCATCAACCGTGACACCTAGCATATTGTGAGAGTAAAAATATCTTTTGACCACTTAACAAATTAGGTGTCATTAAAAACCACATTATAAAAAATCATTTCATTTACTACAATACAGGGATGAGAACAGGAGATGAGAAAATTCACTGGAAGCCTGGGGGTTATGGGAGCTGGTTGGCCCCCATTTGGGGTCCAGGAGCAATGCCCCAGTGGGCTTTCTATTACTCATCTAAATGTAAATGGGGTTTCAAGGGAGCATTGCCCCCTTGAAGCTGAAAGATTTTCACACTCAAATATGCATTTAAAGCCATTTCCTGGAGTCACTTGCTCAGAAAATCATAATGAAATTTGTCATATTATCTTTAACATAAATGACTAAGGACTGGTAGATTAAGTGAGAGAGGGGAAATTATATACCTACTTTACTGGTCTTGTACATCTAGATGCAATGGAAATTCTGCCACACATCAAATTTGGTAGTGCTGTAATTGTTTGGATCTGCTTGCTCGTATCAGATGTAGTGGTAGCATCTTCACTTACCATAGGCAGCTCCTTTTTTATGTTAGCTGTGCAAAATGATCTGTTATGTGGTGAGTAGAAGCAGTGGCCTGCATCGACTTTTTATGACATTTTGACTGAATGTGGTCTTTTATATACCACATGTACTATATTCAATGGTCGCACTTTGACAAATATAGCAAACTGCATTAACAAAAGTATGGATTTTGTGAAAAAATTCACTGAGCACATGTTGCTCTTTCACTGTCTCACTCTTCATGTTTTTTCAGTTCAATTTCACATTTAATCTAAAAATCATAAGCAAAGCAAACCCATAAGTACGTACAATTTAGTAAAAAGACTGTAAAAAAATAGATCAAAATATAAAAATGAACCAAGTTTGGGACTTGCCAAGACTCACAGTCTACCCCAATTGAAATTTTCTTCTTGAAGTTACAAAATTCACAGAAATGACCAATGAGACAAAAATCCCTGGGAAACCATGAATGTGCATATAATTCTCAACCCTGATAATAAAAACCTTAGTACAGTATATTTTCATTGCAATTCTACAAACACATTTAAATAGTCTGCTGAAAGTAATATCTTCACTCATAACATATAGAGTATCAAATGTAATCTTCAATCATAATTCCCGTAGCAATGGCAATGTTTCATAATTTGCACACAATTTTACACTTCTGTAGTAAAAGTGTCAAGAGATAATCTTACTAGTATAATAATACTGAAAGCCAGTCAAAGTAGACACTAGGCTCCACTAATCTTTCCATTATAATGTAATAAGTAGGGAAAAACAATGTTACAACTTATCAACAACAAAATGAAACAACCTCCATGCTACTAACAACTAGTAACACACACAATCTGATGAAATGTCATGTATAGATGATACATATTAGGTTACCATATTCTATACATTGTACAGTACACATTAAAATCACAATTCTTTTATAAACTGATTAATTACAAGAATTTTATGATGTGTCAGGTAGCAGTAAAAAACTACAACGAATTATAACTCATAAAAAAAACTATCAACAAATTGCTAAATGTATTTGACAATAAATATGTTAATTATCAATGATAATATTAGGAAGCAATAGCATAGTACAAAATAATATAACCACAAGTGATATAGTCTTGCAACTTCTGCATACAAATGCAGGATCATACACAATACTTTTTATAGTCTATGAGCATTTGTTTTTCCATCACCATCTCCTCACTATACTTTTAGTCACAATGGATCTAAATAAGCTTGTAAAACATACAAAAAATGTGTTCAGACCAGTGATTCAGAATTTTCAAGATGTTGATATCCCTTGTACTTAATATCATTTTAAAACAAAGGGCTATGAATCAATTTTGGGAAACAGAATCATCCAGAAATAGACCTGCAAGAAGTCATATCCAATTCAAGGTACATACATAAACTGTAACATCTTGTAACAAGTAAGAACCCACAAACACAAAGGTCAGTGGCAAGAGCCATCCATCCACATGTTCCAGACAACAGTATGCAATAAAATCAACAACATCCAACTAGAAAAATAAAATAAGTTACGTGTACACAAGTTGTTTCCATGACACCATTCAACAATCACATACCTCAAGACCTGAAGAATGATTTGGGTATTCATGCTATTATATACAAAAGCATATCAGTCATGTCAATGGACACCTATAGATTCTACTATCAGACTCTTGTAATAGGCATAGGGAAACTATCATCCTTGTATGTGAAAGCATGCAAGGAGAACTGATGTGCTTTGGACATGAAAGTCTACTAATAGAGCCTTTTGCAATGGCAACTAAGCTGCAGATAAAGCAAGAATGGTCATGTAATGAAGTGGTGATGCTCCAAAATCATTTTAATATAATGTACTTAACCTCTGCAAAATAGTGTTCTATTACACTTGTTAAAACTAATAAACTTCACAACCCTAGAAGCACCTCGTAAAAATATTGCAACATCAGCTATAAAAGCACCTGTGATATAAATGCAATATTATTTCAACATTCTTGCTGTAATCTTTGAGAATATGAAATATATGAGCAGTCTGAATAACCTCAAATTATTAATAAAGATAACTAGTAATCAATGACATATTTAACTACAGTGTCTACTGAATAATTATACCTTTAATAACAGCTAGTTCCCCTGCTGGAGTGACCAGAACCTTGTCTCCATTCTTAAGATGTCCAGATTCGATTTTTCCAGCCACACAAAAACCTGAGCTAATGCCCTTGAAGATATCATTGATACAGATACGTAGTGGCTTAGACACAGAACGCTGTGGAGGCTTGAACAAGTCTATATATATAATGATAACAATAATTTGTTTCTTTACATCTATCAATATTTAAAGATCAATTAATAAATTTTCATATTATGCATAAAATTTCTTAAATCATCATTCCTTTAAACTGGCTAGCTGTCCTCTTTCATATATTTAACCAGTAAAACCTGTCTACTAACCCTTGCAAAAGATAGGTAAAACTGAGCACATCATGACCTTTTGAAGAGTTGCACTCAAAATTAAATTGACATCTCAATGTTGTTAGTAAATCATATTCTAATATTTTATCAATTTTAAGCTCTTAACCTTTTGACAATGATCACATTTTTAAAACACTTTCTTTGCATATTACTGAATTACATTCAAAATTTAATCAAACTAATTTACTATCGAGGTATTTTAATGAAATTATTATTATCAAGTACATTATAATTCAAAGTTGTATATTATCTAAGTTTTTATTCCTTTATTTCAAAAGAAACCTATAAAACAATAATTAAACTTTAGTTTGTCATGTGACATGCCCGTGGTTAAAAATCTCAATTTTAGATCTGATATAGGAGAAACAAGTGTCTATAATGTACACGTTTTCATGCAGACATTCAAAGTACACAATATGCAGGTTGTTTACCAGTAATCTGAGTAAATTCGAAGGACTTGTTACTGATGAAATGTTGTAAAAATTCCTCAGTTCAAGATAAGCCACGCCCTTTTTCAAAGTAGAAGGTGTGTTGCTCAGCAACAGTTTTAACTTGAATGGCATGCTTATAACCAAGAGAAAGAGCAAGTTTCACACTATATGTAATAACGAGGGTAGGAAAGTTAGGCAATGTATGTGTTTTACAAAGGAAGTCGAAATGAAGCTCGGTCCACAAGTCGAGAGTTGTGTCCATAGCGCTTGTTAATATTTTCTAACTTTATATATCTTAGTTTGATAGACAATTAAATTGCATTTAGGTTTTACTTTGATATTTTAGTTAATTATGCATTATTTGTGTTTTAAACTTCACATTCGAAAGGTTTAATGATTTTCTAAATTTATTCTATACTTTGCCTTGCTCAACATGTGTTTTCCAACTGACAAGAAGTCAATGGATGCAAAACAAAAGTTGCTGAAGGCTAAACCATTTCTGCCTATGATAACATTATATCACCCGCTGGTACCTGTTGAGGTGTGTTGACATAAATAATCAAAGATGAAGAACAGGAAAGAAAAATAAAACATTAAAAATAAACTATAAGTTATAAGGTAAAGATGTGAAATTACACAAATGACCCGAAGAAGATATTTCAAGATTATTCTATGAAGAGATTCAAAGATAGGTATATATTTTTATTTCTTAATTTTAAGTGTTTCATTGCACTGTACATTGATGATAATAGCCAGAGTTAGTGATATGGTAGAGAAAAGGGAACATAAAATATAAACATTTACCTTAAAAACTTTTGATATTCATTTAGAAGGTTCTAGAGATTATGCAAGTGAAATGTGAAACTGTAAGGCAAAAAATACCATTTTTATACTTAACATGAAAATCACCTTGCAGGTGAACTATTCATAGTCTGAGAACAAATAACTACATTAAATAATAAATTTTCAGTAAAAATAGTAGAAAAAACCAAAATTAAATATATTTTTCTGAAACTACATACTTATAGGAAGGTTCTTGTCAAATTTCACACAATTTCATATACTAGATTCATTTCTGTAAAGGAATTTCCCAAGAGTTACATAACCTACTTCAAGATTAAGTAGGCTGCTATCAAAGGTTAAATTCTATAAGTAAATATTCTAAAATATCCTCAAACTAACCTAGTATGAGAATCATGACATTTGTTTTCCAGGTCTTCCACCTTTTCTAATTACTTTACCACCCCTCTCTGAAGTTTGGAACTTAAAGTAAATTACTCATTGGAATATAGATATTACTAAGGCAAAGTCTAACTTTTATAGCTTTCAATGTTATTTGTTTATGAAGTCATATACTTGAAAATCAGACCCACGTGTCATGCCAATTTATCACATCCTCTCTTTCACAAATTGCAAACAATTCTTTTTAATGTTTTATACTATATCATTAATAACCAACAGAAAGACTATTGAATGACGTATAATGCTACATTATTTTCAGTACAGAGTATTGTCAATTTTATCTTCAAATTGAAAGTTTACCTCACAGTGTTAAAATTGAGCAGAAAAGGGAGTAAATGTAAGCCCTTCTTGTCTTACTTAAAAAGGCAATTAAATCCTAATAGTTATAGGTCATTGTTTGCTTTGTGCATGTTATAAGGTGTTCTTAGGTGCATTCTTTAAGTAAATAATTATTTAATGTGCTAGTACCATCATTATAAAAAGTAGGCTTAAATTTCATCAACAACCAAAAGAAAAAAACATGCATATTTTTTATTTATTGTTATAAATGTAACTAAATGGTAAAAAAAAAGAAACTTGTTAGATAATGTAAGATAATGAAAAAATGACAATAAAAATTCTTCATGAGGTATGCTCGTGAGCAGCTCATGCATTGCATCATTTAATACAGTAACACAAACTATGTGTTCGCTAAGTGATTTGCAACTTGTGTTGTGTAATTATTAGTCAGACACAGGGTAATAAAACAATAAAATTAAGTATAAACAAGTAGACTGTTACAAGCCTTAAGCTATTTATGATAAACAACTGTAGTTTTCTGGTACATTCTACAGTCATTCTATAAAGAAAAAAAAAGTAATATAGATTTACTTTGTATTTTTTATGGTGTTCACAAGGTTGATCAAATCAACCAAGTCCATATAGAATTATGTAGAGAAAATAACAGATAAAATATAAAGTTTTATTTAAAAAAAAGTTTACTATATACTTAGGAGGTTTTATATGTTTTGCAAATGAAATTTAAAATTTGTGACACAAAGAAAAATATTTTTAATCTTAACATGAAAATCACTTTGCACTTGGAGCAGTCAACACTCTAACTCCATAGATTCCCACATAAATCTTTAGTAAAAATACTATGTTGAAAAATCTGATTTAGTAACAGGTTGCTAAATTTGTAAAGATATGCTAAGTACTTTCATAGTTGTAGTATGTATACCTTCATGGTTTCATGGTGGTTACAAGGTTGTATGAAATGCACAAGCCATGTATACTAATTGGTTGTTGTTTTTTTAATCAGGTAGTCCATGTATATATTAATCTAATTGTCTGTCTTCCTTTTATCCATATATTTTTCTGTTTCTCTATCACTGATTTTATCTGTTCACTTGTTTGGAAGTTCTTCATTTTCCATTTGTTCATCCAGTGACTTATGTTTGTCTTGGTTTTTTATTTGTTTATTGAGCTATCTGTTTATCCATTTTTTCTGCCTGTCAGTTTTTTTCTGGCCACCTGTAATTAGAAAGCCATTGTTTGTCAGCACTTAATAAAAAGATTATAAAATATGTCATTTTCACATGTTTTCTCACCTGAATCTATAAAAGAAGTCTTGACAATATCATATACTGAGCCTCAACATATTCATTGTAGATGTTTTTTGTTGTGTGTGTGTGTGTGTTAAAGAAAACAAAATTGGAACTCAATAAGTAGGATATGCATATTAAAAGTGAAAAAAATAATTGACTTAGGCAATATGATAACAGTATACATACCAATGACTTCTACAAGACAAGGTCCTTTATACCATGCTGCTAACTTATCTTGCTTGGCTGGCTCAGTTAGGTTTTCACCAGTTAATCCACTACACGGGACATATGTCACATCTGTTTCCCTAAATCCTGCTTGTTTTAGAAATCCTCCTAGTTTAGTTTCAATAAAATTGTATCGATCCTGAGACCAATTCACATTATCTAATTTGTTGATAGCAACTGCTAGCTGTGAGACCCCTGTTAACAACAATTAAGAGATTATTAGCATCATCCCTAGAATGTAATAAACAAGACCCAGATCAATTTTTATTAATCTTTCACTGTGAAACTGTTCTATTTTCAATTCAATATTTTATAATCACCTTAACAGCTTAACCCTTTCCAGACAAGAGTGATATCAGTGGTAGCCCATTCTGTACATTTCCACGGTTAAAATATTCAACCAAATTACACGAAATTTGATACAAGCATTCCAAATAGCTTAGTTTCTATATGAACAAAAATTCATGAAATATGTCTTAGTATTCATATAATCTTTGGGTGTAATCATTGCTACCTACCTAAAGACCGAATTAACAAAGTATGTTCTCTAGTCTGTCCTCCAGTCTCAAAACCCGTCTCAAATTCTCCCCTAGTGGCATCCACTACGAGTATTGCAACATCAGCTTGAGAAGCACCTGCAATGTAAACACAGTATTATTTCAACATCTTTGCTGTATCTTTGTACATATGAAATATCAATGTTATATTGTCATAAAAGAAGTAAACACTATGTACTACATTTTAACTCACAATAATTCTAGTCTATTTCAGAACATCATGAAAAATTAGCAAAAACAATGTTCAGAAGTACTATGAAAAATATGAAAAGAAACAGCAATATATATATATACACACACACACTCTATTATATTGAACAGTATCTTGTAAAAATAATCGTTTCATTTCATAAGAAAATACTGTAAACAAACAATCAATTAGTGTGCATAATTACAATATATTTTATACAACCTAAAAATAGTACATTTCTTATAAACTTGCTGTAAACAGACTATTAGTTGGTTAATATATTTTCAACATACCATACACAATCAATCAGCTTGTTAATTTAATTTCATTAGTATGTAAGAAACCAATCCAATGATAATTTTAGCACAATCATAATAAACAACCATCACAATAGAACTGTTAATAATGTTTCAGAAATCTTTCTTTCACAGGCTCTACAAGTTTTAAAGTAACATGAACATAATAGCATTTTGTCTGCACATCACTGCTAATGATGCCTTTCACTCAATATCACAAGCTCATCAGGTCAAATGGGAATGTAACACACAGTCTCAGATGAAATGCTATTTGTATCAATTACATATATCAATTGCTATGGTATATAATGCATATGAAAGTGAAGCATGATCTATTAAGTCAATTTGACTGACCACATGACCTCTTTGTACTCGTTTAAAGTTTTTATAGATTTAATACTTCTAACTTTGAATATAATGTGTATATCTTCACAAAATTTGGCAGTTTTCAGTTAATATTATGTCTTCACACACAAAAAATCATATTTTTCAGTGAAGTATTTTTAATAAAACAAAATAAAGATTTGCCCATAAATATATTGAGTATATGTTTTGAATAGACTGCGTGCAAAGTAATTTTCATGTTAAAATTAAAATACTTTTCATCCTCTCAAAAATCTCAAATTTCGTTTGTGTAATTCCTAAAACCTCCTAAATGCATTTCAAACGTTTTTTCTGTAAAACTTTATGTTTTATCTGTTACCCTAACTCTATAACAATGTTAGTCAACTTGACTAACCTCATACGAAAAAAAAATCTAAATAAATCTAAATTACCCTTTTTTCTTTCTGGAATGACTTAAATTGTAACATGAAACAGCATTCGTTTATCCTAAGTAGCTCTAAGTTGGTAACAGTATACATCGATTTATAACTAACTTTTGTTGTTTTATTGCCCTTTGAACCATCTCTAACTACTATCCATGCCATTAAAATTTGTAAATCACACAGGCAACATGCAGCCCATGTTAAACTAATGAATTACATTACACACGAGCTACTACAAGCTGCTCGAATTTGTTCCTCGTGAAACATTTTTATTATAATATTATTATTATTAATTTTACCTAATCTAATCTTAACTGACCTAAAAGGATCCCTATTTTTACATTTTACTTACTTTTATAGTTATACATAAAGAATAAACATGAAAAACAAGAAATAAAATACTTAACCAAACTTCTTTTTTCTTGCTCTCAATTGTTGAAGAGAGTTAACCCTAATTTTTTTATAATAATGATAGTAATGCATTTAATCATTTTTATTTAATTAAATAATGCACCAAAGAATATAGACTAATAACGTGAAAAAGTAGTCATTACAAATTCATCGAACAATGTTGGTACTCTGAGTGAAATTGACATTTAACCATTCAGAACATAACGTTATACAATATGTCATTTGATAGATGAAAACCTTGACTTTCTAGTGGTTAGAGGTAATATATAATTAAATGCAAAAGAAAAATATTAACAAATCCTGAAAGAGAGGATGTGACAGATAGGTGTGGCAAGAGAGGTCTGATTTTCTATTCAATAGCTCTGTAACTACACAAAATTGAAGATTATAAAAATTTTGGTTTGTTTGAGCAATGACGATTTTATAGAGTAATTTACGTTTAGTTTTGTACTTTTTCGAGGGGTGGTGGATAATATAGGGAAGATGACCTGCTAAAAGAAAATGTGTCACATGGGTTACAGTATGGGAAATTCAGGATTTTTTTAATTATTGTCTTGTAGAATTAAGAACTCAAAACATATATACAGTGTAGCCCCATTATAACAAGATCGCTGATGTCCATAAAATGTCATTGCGAAACAAGTAGGGTCATGCTAAATCAGGGTTCAAGAAAATTACTATTCAAACTGACCCAACATCCTAAAACACCTCTATTTTTGCCCTCTTTCACTAGTTTTTTACACATTCCCTTTCTGGCAAGTAAATTAAAGAATTCTGTGAATGAATCACTGTTGTTGCAGTAGAAATTAAAACAAATTATTTTTAGTAGGCTTTTTAATAAACAAATCAAAACAACAAATAAAAACATTCAATAATATTAGCAATCTCATTTGCAGTTTATTTCTTAAAAAACTGATTGAGTGTTCCTTGCTTGAACGTAGCATGTCTCTGGCTGGGAGCGAAATCTAGAATGCTTCTGAGTTGGAGGATTTTTATGTGGTCCACCTCCTGAGTCTCCAGCCAACGGAGGCTAGCCTCGAAGTGTTCAATGGCTTCAGACACTTTTGGTGGTAGTGATGGAGGCTCTTCATTATCCTCTTCTTGTGGCTCAAGAACAGGTGCACTTGCCTCTGTCAGTGCTATAGTTACATTATGGAAGATCTTGGCGTCCGTCAAGTGCTCATATGTTGGGCATTGATGTAGATCTTTGTTCCATTCAGACAGCTACTTTGCCTCATGCACATCTTTCTCTGTGAAGCCTTACAAATCTGTCTCATCATCATCATCGTGTTAAATCGGGGCGCGTAAAATTGGGGTTTCACCGTACTATTAAAATATGTATTATTATTCTAATTGGTATAACATAAACAAAAAGTAGTTTAATAAAATTTTGAATGTAAGACACTAAAACCTTGTGTCATGCACAGTAAAGGATACCCATAGCGATAGGGTTAATCAATAGTTTGTATGACATTACATCACAGTAAGACTGATGATATTTCTTTTTATAAATCTTTCTTTTATGGGTATCCAATTATGGGATAGGGTTAATCAATAGTTTGTATGACATTACATCACAGTAAGACTGATGATATTTCTTTTTATAAATCTTTCTTTTATGGGTATCCAATTAATTTTCCAATAAGAATATAACATTATCTCAAATGTGTGGTCGGGATGCTTTTATGTTCTTCTAAGATACTTGGAAATCCATAGTATAACCAGTAAAAGAAAGATTTGTAAAAAATTATCATCATTCCCATTGTGTTGAAGTGTTACAAATTATCAAGCAATAGAACACACCATGATAACTGATATAAGCATAATTTTGGCCATGACTTGTTTTGCATTCACAGGTGACGTGATGCCTCCTGGTACTAAAAGAAAGGTCTCATCGGCAGTGGCAAGCAGCACAGAAGGTGTGCAGTAAAGATGCTATTATGTTCTTCTTACCTTGCAACCCATACTATATGGCCAGTAAAAGTCTTATTTTGATACTGTGTTACACAAACCATCGATCAACAGATTATGTTTCACTGGCATAATGATTTATATATATAACAAGCAGTTGGTTAACTTTAAGATATAAAATAAATGGTTACATTTTTTTATTGCTGTGATCACCTAAGTATAGATCATTTACCTTATTTTTCCTTTTCTGCATGTTATGAGTTCTCAATATATCATTGAACCCAGACATCTAAAAATACATTATATATATATATATATATATATATATAAAGTAGAGCTATTTTAGTTC